AATTTATGATTTGGGGTCCGAACTTTGGATCAGAAAGGACTGTTAAACTTTTCTGTAGCGAATTGTTTCTCCACCCACATCCCCTCCCACCAGTCGTGGTTACACGCTATAATTCTTTGGCTCCTTATTGTGTACTTTAATTCTAGGGTGTCTCGAAAACTGAGACCTAAGACCTGAGACCCCCTCCAAACCTCGAAAACTAAGACCTAGGACCCCCTTCAAATCTCGAAAACTAAAACCTAAGACCGCTTCCAAATCTCGAAAACTAAGACCTAAGACCCTTTCCAAATCTCGTAAACTAAGACCTAAGACCGCCCTTCCGAATCTCGAAAACTAAGACTTAAGATCCCCTTCAAATCTCGAAAACTAAGACCTAAACCGAAAATTACAGCTAATTTTATAACGTTTAAAACACAACGTAAGGAAAGGTGTTAAGACCCTTTGTTCAACTCAAAACCAAGGAAAGGTTTCCTTATTTCAGCAGTAGCATGCTTCTCACAGTTCCAGTAAAGTTAGGAGCAAACTTACAGTCCCACTTAAGTATTCTCGAGCAGGAGCTTGACTTCGCTGCGAGACTTTATTCTGTATTTGTAATACATTCTTAAGCGGAAGTGTATAATAAGTAATGTTGGGCCGGTTAGAAGTATTGATAATCGATAGCGTTTGTTTGAGACGAAAAATAAAGCCAGCGACTGAAAGAGCGCCCAAACATTAGCAGAATATGAAAAGCCCGCGTCGGATGTTTCTGGTTTTAATCTTTTTAACTTGTAGTAGGAGCCCATAAACCGGAGCGAGCAACTCCCATACTAGGCCTACGTCACGGCGTTTTTACGGACGAGTATATTTTTAGACACATTTTAGGGCACTTTTTGCCGCGAAAATAGAATCTCCACCAAGTCTATGAGCGCATTCGAAGTATAAGATATCAAAAAGGAAAACTAAACGTTATTAAAATGCAAAAAATATCATTTTTAGGTCTGTGGGTTTTGCTGACTGACTGGTTTGTTTAATTTAAAAGATATCAAAATTCGCGCCAAAACCGTTCTAAAAATAAACTGGTCTGTTAAAACGCCGTGACACGAGCGCATGGAAGTTGCTCGCTCCGGGTAATGGGCTCCTGCTTGTAGTTTAGTTTCAGAGCTCAACTAAAAAGAGCAGAAAAATGGAGCTGAAGTGAAAGCGTAGTGACAAGAAAAAACTGCTAATGTGCTTTTTCAGATTATTGTTTACTTTATTTCCCTTAAACCTGATGATAGCATATGCTGTGTCGTTATTGTTGTCACGCAAGGGTATGGTGTCCGTAGGGAATTTAGACGAGAGAATTTATTATCCTCTCTTTCCTTTGGGTACTGATCAGGAAAACATACATGTGAAAAATATCCGCTTTCTCTCCCGATCCTTTAGTTTTCTTCCCTAATTGAAATCACCCTAAATAATCTGCTCCTGTAATTTCAATTTCTCTCTTTCAGTGGGTGGCAATTTGGGATATTTGAGATAAAGAGTCTCTACCACACACTTTATAGTTTATTTTAATATAAAATATTGCATTTGGATTCCTCACTGAGACAACAAACTCACACAAACAAACAAAAGCATTAAACGAAGAAAGCAGGACTGATTTTGCCAACCGACTCCGTAAAGACATTAGAATTCATGGCTTGATAGTGTAGTATAGTAGTAGTATAAAACCACCCAATTAACCTTTTTTTGAACAGGAATCTCATTAGCTTGCGCAGGAATACATTAACGCCGATTGCGTCAAAGCCATTTGTCTTTATCTCAAGAATGTGTTGGAGGAGAAATAAAAGTATAAAATCAAAATAAGAAGGTTTAGTTTGCTTTCACCCTCATTAACCTGCACACTTTGAGGACAAGAATCATTAAACCGGAACTAGGACAATGGCAGCGGCTGAAAATAGAACTTGCATAATTACGTTACGGCTAAGTGATTTGAGGTCACAGGCAAGTTTGAAGTTATTCCTTAGACAGACCAATGAAAACCTTTCGTATTTTCAAACCAACCAGTCGAAAACGAAGACATCCATCTAAAAGTAACTCAAAACCTGTAAAACAGGTTGAACCAACTACAAATAGCATATGCCTTATCGTAATCAGATTCCTGCGCATTTTTTTCATGCGACAAAGACAAAAGGATGTAACGTCATCGGCGTTAATGTATTTCTGCGCAAGATAATTCGATGCCTACTATACTACTTATAGAGATGATAGTGGCTGTACTGTACGCTGCTCTAGCATTAACTCGAATGCAAATGCCAACAACAACAAAAAGTTCAAATAAATAAAGAGCAACAGGGGGGCATTTTGTATGCACATACGTCAATATGGTCTGTTGAAGTGCCACAGAGGCATGAACATTGCCACGATGCATTTCTTCCTTGATAAGTAAAACCATGAGTTTGGAAATGCATTGCTTTGGCAGTGAAAGGAACAGTGATTGTTGGCGTTGAGTCTTTTTAAAGTCTTTAAAAAGTCAAGAACACCAGCTGTTGAAAAATCTACAACTGAAAACCCGCGTAGAAAACGTCCGATTTTTTGTCATGGAGAACATTTCTTGTAGGAAAGTAGGGTATTCAAAGCACCAACGAAATTGCTCTGAAAAGGACTGTAACTTCAAGCGAGTTCTCGATTTCCCGCCACCACATTTGATGCACCCACGCTATTGTCGTTCACCGTATGCACGCATGCGCACGCAAAATGCCCCCTTGTTATAAAGAGCACTTCAACGAGTACAACTTACAATAAATTTAACTCTGTCAGTCTTGAAAAAGTTGCTGTTTCCAGTTTCTGGATTTCGTTATTTTGAAAAGATCTGTATTATGAGGGAAAGAAAAGAATTGAGTGGACAAATGCGCTAACAAACTCCTATAACGATAACACCACTCTTAAAGAAATTATTGCCCAAAATGCTCGTTAAGATTCGTTCGTTTAGTTTATTTGTGTAAATAAAGATTGA